GTCTTTAGAACACTAGGGAGGCTGCCTGTGCAGGCAGTCGAAGGTCTGAATGCGCCTTTATGTCCTTATACGGAGGCGATTCTGCTCGTGTTCAAAAGGCGCCAGAATTTAAATTAAAGAAATCCAATTACAAATTCAAAAAATACATCGTGTAATTTTTATTTTTTTAAGATAATTGATGGTAATTACTCATTATTAGTTAATTAATTGTTAGATTATTAATTAATTACTCATAAATTAATAATTAATTACTATTTATTATCAATTATCTTAAAAAAATAAATGTCAACACGATGCGCGCGCATCCATCTCCAAGGGACTTGGAGTTGGACTTGCTTTTTGGAGCTATTGTAGAGGCGGTTCCAGAATAGATGCAAAAGCCAAGTACAAGTGCAAGTCCAAGTGCAAATCCCATGAGTGCGAAAGAGATAGGCAGTCTATCTATCTCTCTTGCAGTCATGGGATTTGCAGTTGGACTTGCACTTGTACTTGACTTTTGCACCTATTCTGGAACCGCCTTAGAAGCTCCATCATATGTCTATGATTATATGCCATAGACTAACAACATTGTAATAGAACGCTCAGGACAATTCAAAAAGTGTCCAAACCGGAAGGACAGCATATAAAGGCCTGAGCAGAATAGCGTCGTAATCGTAAACGCAATCGCAAACGTAAACGGAAGAATGAGTTAGAGAAGGATAGGTATATTGTTTATCCTTCTCTAACTTATTCTTCCGTTTACGATTACGATTCCGGTTACGTTTCTATTCTGCGTTGGCCTTAAGATACTGCCTGTATATGAATGTTTGCTGTATTTGCACTCATGACCTAGTTACAAAACGCAACACAAAACGCTGTCATAGAACTCCAGCCTAAAGGTTCTTTACGCGCCCAACCCTGCTACTCAGGCAGCAGACGAGCTGTGCAAGTAGCTTAAATTTAGAGTTATCGAAGTGAAAAAACTTCGATACATTTCCAAATTAGAGATTTCGTTTCATCTTGTTGGAAACCCTGTTTTTCTAAGTGACTAACAGGTCTTTTCTTGATTTGTAATTTACGTTGACAAGCCGCATTAAAGAAGAAAAAGGAAAATTTAGTTTTTAATACTAAGTTTACGTTAAAAAAAATATTGAGTACGCTAGAGTAAGTACAAAATCTTCACATAAATATTATATTCTTTTAAAACGGGATATATTTTTATTCAAAATTTCTTGTTTTTTCATACATTTTGATACTCTTTAATATATGCAATATTTTACATTTAGAATATTTTGTATGTCCACATTATATTATCTTTCGATATATTCAACACAGATATTTCAGAAAAAGTTTCATTTATTATTAAAATTAGCAAATTTTTCTATAATTAAATCATTACATTGATACACAACCCAAGTGGAAATATATTTTCTATAAAATTTACAACAAATTTTATACATATTTACAAAAATATCCCCCGTTTGCAATTTAAAATTATTAGAAATTTAATTTTCATTTACAGCAAGATTAAAATGCAAATTTGCTACAATAATTTGATTTGGATTTGTAAGAAGATTGTAATTCCAAGTTGCGAAAGGAAAACATGTTTGTTTACCTATGTGAAAGAATTGCCGAGAAATTTCAGAATTTTTTAATGGCAATTTTTCATAAATTTGTTTAAAATAATCTAGATAGTGTTGCTCGTGGAGAATTACTAAGTTACTATAATAATTACATATTATAATGTTTTTCGCACATGTTATCAAAATATTTAAAAATTAATTCTGCATGTTAGAAATGAAAGCATTTTTGTTTACAGGAGCCTATACGTGATACTGAAGCAAGTAATAGAAAAATTTTACTTTCTATTAATGGTCCTCAAATCTTCACACGGTGAGCTTACATGTTCCTTATATTAAATCTTAGAATTAAAAATTTCATTTATGATTTTATAGATGCCGCGGAAGCCGAAAGTTTCAACAAACGAAGCAGTAGATGCAATTTTGAATCAAGAAAGCAGTAAAGAAATTCTTGAAGAGAAACTGCCTCCATATTCATCCGATTTTTATAAAAGTGTGAGCAAAAGTTTGAATGGCCATTGGACTGCTCAAGATGTATATAGAAACCTTCGTGAAAATAGGAATAGATTAAGAGCTTTAGTTTTCGACGCGCTTGGTATTCCTGAAATAAATAAAATTCAAAGAAATATTGACAATGAACCTGGATGTTCAACGGAGAATGATGAAGACAGTCTTTCTGATGATGAAAGCCACTTCCAGTTTAATGACTCAATTTCAGAAAATGATAAAACTTTTCTAGTCATCATCAAAAGTGAGCTATATGAATTGATGAAGCCTGAAATGGTAAGATATAAAACTTGCGAAAAATACGTTTTGAAACCTCGTGTCTGGTCAAATATTATCATGAAAGAGGTCTGGCGACAATTACGTCTCCCCTGCGCTTATACATTCAAAAAACCTCATCCTTCTCGAGACAAAACTGCCATTTTTTTAAAAATATTTGGACGTTGCAAAAGTAAAATTTGCAATAATGAATTTTTTGCTATTGCAGATAAAGAACCTCTTCCGGGTGGAGATTTAGTTTTAAAAATTAAAACCAATGATACCAGCGGTAAACCTCACGAGAAGGTAAAACGTCAGTTAAAGTTTTATGAGCGTGACGAGTTGGGGAAGAAAGTAGTTTTTGAAGGAGCTGCAAATTTGCAGCGCAATATTGCTCGAGAAGAAATGCGCGTAGAAGATGCTAATGCTCCAATTCTTTATGACCAAATGGTTTTAAGAAAATTAAAGCAGCAACAAAGAGAAAAAGACTTAGGTCTTTCATCGAAAGACGGAATTAATCCTGTTCTTACACTGCAAAAGTTGAAATACACATCACCTTATAGTGGCAGCATACACCATATTGCACTGGATGATTTCACTCTTCACATATTCATGCCTGAAATGATTTACATGTGGAAAGAGCAAAGTCGGGTAAAAAAAAATCTTTCGGAAATATCAATAGACTCTTCAGGATCGTTAGCAAATAAGCTAAAGCTGCCAAATGGTGATCTATCAGGTCATATATTTGCTACAGAAATAATTATAAATGTGAAACACACATTAGTGTCAGTTGGACTTTTATTGTCAGAGTCTCAAGATAGTGCAACATTCGACTTTTTTTTAAAGAGGTGGCTTATGGCGGGTGCTCCTGTACCAAAAATCGCTGTCTGCGATTTTTCGAAAGCTTTATTGCGAACACTTTCCGTTGTTTTCAACAGAAAGTCAATTAAAGAATATGTTGATACTTGTTTTGAGGTTCTTCAACTGCAAGTGGATTACCGACCAGATGATACATTTATAAGAGTTGACGTAGCTCATTTCATGGCCATTTTCTCACGTTTGAAATGTTTTCAAATTAAAAATATTGCTGTGAAAGATTTTTTAATGCGATGTGTGGCCCTTCTAGTTTCATGCAGTAATTTTGAACGGTTTAAAACCATTTTAACTATGATTTTAATTGTGACAACACATAATTATGAAAGCAAAAATGTAAATGGTATGAATGTACCTATGCCCGCCAAAGAAGCTAGAAAATTCTTGAATAATCTTATATCCACAGAAGATCATTCGTCCATAAAACTGCTAATTCCAAATGAAGAAAGTGAAGAATACAAAAAAATTACATTGAAACTAAAAGCTAATAATCAAGATCCTCTGGAAGAGAGTTCAACTTTCTACGAAGAAATTAATTATTCTCAGAAAATTGAGTCGTGGATTGATTTGATTGTTCAGAATGTGAAAATCGGTAAGTTTTTTGTTGACGCTCATAATTTTGAACAGAACTACTGTTTAATTTTTTCTTAATTTTAGTTCAATATATTATTTTTTCAAATTAAAACTAGTTTAAGAATTTGATTTAATCTATTCTACTTTAAGTGTGTAATTTTTATATTTGTTTCTATTTTCTATCAAAGGTGACGAAAAAGGAATTGATCCAAATCCGTTTTATCTCCCTTTATTTGCACAAGATATGATAAGACTGTCAAAACAGTTTCCTCTGTGGTCTGCAGTAATGACGCCATTTTTCAAATGCGAAATTCTTCGAGGATCAAGTGCTTCTTCTGAAGGACATTTCAACGAATTGAAAAATCAAATTCTGCAGGGAGCTCGATTAACGGACGTTCACAAATTATTTATCATTTATTGGCGTGCAATGCAAGGCGCAATCAATATAAGTTCGAGTAAATTAATTAGTTCCGAATTAAAGAGTAATCTGGAAGTTACAGAAAATAATAATTTAGAGACCAATGATGATGAACAAATTAAAAATATTGCAAAAGATCCGGAACCACGAGAAAGAAATGAAAGCTGCAATATTCGAGAAATCGAATTTGATGAAAGTGCATCATCAGAGCTTGATAATAATAATAATAATAATGACGAATTAAATTGGGATAATAAAGACAGGAATATCGAAACAGACGAATTATTATTAATAGAAAACTGGCGGAACAAAGCCAAGAAAATAAATCCGGTCTTAACTCTGCCTCTTTCCAATTCACCTGCAGAAACTGTACCGAAGAAGAAACGAACTAAATATTTTCAACCATTTCCAGAAATAAAACAAATTGAGATAAATTTAGACAGTAAAAACAAAAAAGTGAAATTGTTTCTGCAAAATAGAAATCTTGCTAAAACGCGACTCCTAATTGACAAAAAATCAGTTACGGTGAAAAACACATGTGCTTTTGACTCAATTATGTCAATAATCTCAATTGCTGCAACAGATAGTCCCTCATATCTTCAATATCTGAAAGCAAAATCGGACTCTATTAAAGATGTGGTTAATTTTGTTTTATGCTTCTTGGACCTTGGAGGGATAGGGCGTAATGTTGGACCCGTTTATATACATCGTGCAGTTATTCTTATGGAGGCCTTTATGGTAAACGAATCCCATGTACAAAATACAATGTCTTATTTAATAGCGCAAGTCCAAATCAGCTAAGAGTTATAGATGCTTACTGCTGTCTTCCCGTTATGTGGCAACACTTAATGAAAGAAGAAATTACTTTCTCGAGGTCTAAAACTTGCGAAGCTGGACATAATGTTCTCCAAAAAGTAAAGAGAATATCGGTTGATGAGGACATTATTAGAACCAAAGGAATTGAAGCACTAAGTGAGTCTCTTATTTTACACTCAAGTTACAAGTGCTCTATTAGCAATTGCTCTCGGCAAATTAAAGATGTAAAAATAGATTTTAACGTTCAAATATACATAGAATTGGAGATAATGATTTCATCACAGACACTGATGACCTGCTCACCGAAAGACTTCCCTATCTACTTGAATTTTGATAATAATACTTTCAGGTAAATTAATTAATTTTTCTTCTTTAAAATTAAATTAAAATTGATTGCATATAAATAATAATTCTCATAACGCAGTGCTAAGAAGGGCATTTTTTTGCACTTTGTTATGAAAAGTATTATTCGTATTTGGAAGCAAAATTGAATTCGACTGGAATTTTATTTTGTATTGAAAAAAAAGTCTACTCCTCGTTACTTTTGTTCACACAGATTGAAACAAAAGTCTATTACATATTATTTTCGTTTCCACAGATGTTGAAACAGAAGTCTTCTTCAAATTCCTTTTGTTTACACTTAATATTGGATAAAAAGTCACTTCGAATTTAATTCCTAATTTGGTATTAAAACAAAAGTCTACTTCACATTACTTTCTTTTACACAAATTAAAACAAAAGTAGTTTTGACTTTAATTTGTAATTAATTTAATTTCAATTTAATTAAATAAAAATCAAATTAAATTGATACTAAATAGTAATAATAATAAGTTTAAATTGTTTAACAAAAATCACTTGAGCAATACTCTTGTGTGTACTTGAGTCCTGCACTTTTTTGAACAAAACTAAAGAGGAATTTACTTTTGATTTTGATATCTGAAAATTAAAAATTTAGAGATCTGATACAAAAATAAACGAAGTTAACTTATAAATTTGATGTTTAAAAAAAAAGTAAAAAGGCATTTACTTTTGTTTCAAATACATTGATTCGAAACCAAACAAAAGTGTTTTCAAATTTGATTTTTATTTTGTAAACGTCCCTGTTGGTAACTTGTGTGAACATAGTTGCCGATTTTTGAACGAGCTTTGTTTTTGGAACTCGCAATTAGCTTCGCCTACAGCTTGTTCGAAAAAAGCGCTCGATCAAAAAATGGCAATTGCTCACACTCATTACGAAATATACTATTCTTTGTCATTTATCTAATCGCAAGAAACAAGTGAAAAAAACACATTTTAAATTTTCCCATTCTGTTTTACAAAATTTCTAATGCTTTTTGACATTTATGACGTTTAAAAGTCATTCAATCATAAGAAAATTTAATTTTCTTTTATATATAAAATTTGAAATACTATACTAAATAGAAAAATGGAACATATCTAAATATATGAATTTTTTTTATAGATTAGCAGGAATAATAGCTTTTGTCCCAGGCCATTTTACTGCACTCTGTAGAAGAATTAATGGAAATTGGGAAGAACATAACGATCTATGTCAGGGAAAGAAAAATTTCAACAGTAATATGAAAATAACACCAATTGCAGCAATATACATTACTTCTAAAAAAAATTGATGCATAATTACGAAAAATTTTAAAAACAAAAAAATTTAAATAAAGAGTTAATTGTCAAATTTGAACGAAAAGATTGCTTTTATTATTGTTTTTCATGTTTCATTTCATATTTTCAGTATTAATAAACATCATATTAAAAGTAATATAGAAGTTATACGAAAAAAAATTGAAAAAATTATTACTAACTTCATATAACATTGAAAAAAAGACTACTATAATTTCTAACCATTACTGAATACGCAAAAGTATTTTTTCAATTTTGACATTAAATCAAGAAAAATCACCACACAAAGATTGATTTTAACTGATATGAAGAAATTAAAAATTTTTTTAAATAAAATGCAAATGTATAGTTAGCACGATTTTCATATGGCAAAATTTATATAAAAAAAAATTACATTTCCACGTTAATTTATCAATGTGTGATTTGATAAAATAGGAAAATATTATGAAGTTAAATAATAAAATAAAATAAGAATTAACAATATTATTGTAAATCACTAAATCGCTGAAAGGTTCAGTTGAATTTTAAGTTAATTAAAGATTTTGTATTATTTGAATTTGTAATATAATTTTTTTTAATTTCAAATTTGGCGCCTTTTGAACTCGAGTAGAATCACCTTCGTATAAAGGTACTTGCACAGCTCTTTTTAATAGAGAAAAATTTCCAGAAAAATACATTTTTCTACCATATCAATTCACATTTTACTTTAAAATAATAATAATACGGTAATTCTATTATCTTTTATTGATTTTTATTAATAATTTGCATTAAAAAACAAATATTTCATTTTAGTTGAATTCAAATCTTTCGCGGGAGCGTTCGGCATGCTGCACGGGCGTCTTTTGAACACGAGCAGAATCGCCTCCGTATAAGGACATAAGTTTTTTAATTTGTTAATATTTATTAATTGGATGACCACCAATCATCAAAAACCACCACCTAACAATCACCAAACGACCACCAAACGATACGAAAAAGAAATTTTAAAAATTATGAAAATTATTTAAAAGAAATTGTAAATGTGAAGTTAGCACTCCGTTATAGATATTAAGAATCTTCGATTTTCATATGGCATTATTTAAATTAAAGAAAATAACATATGCCAGTTTTACGAGGTATTCTGAATTAAATAACTGTTATAGTTATTTCCATGTTAATTGATCAAAGTTGATACTTTTACTTTAATAAAGTAAAAAATGATTATGTTGTTAAATAATAAAATGAAATAAAAAATAACAATATTGTTGTAGAACACTAAATAATCAAAAGGCTTATATAAACTGTTAGTTAATTAGGGTTTTGTATTTTTCAAATTTGTAATTGGATTTCTTTAATTTAAATTCTGGCGCCTTTTGAACACGAGCAGAATCGCCTGCGTAACTTAAGTTCTTTAATTTGATTATATTTATTAATTGGATGACCACCAATCATTAAAAACCACCACCTAACAACCACCAAACGATTCGAAAAGGAAATTTTGAAAAATATTGAAAACTGGAGTGCAAGGGTGAAGTTGGCACTCCAAATTGAAAGATTTTCTAGTTTTTTTATTTTTGACCACCAAACGTTAAAAACTAGCACCTAACGATCACCAAACGACCACCAAACCTTTCCAATTGGAAAAAATTATATATTTCATGTCTAGAGTGCTAACTTCACGTACATGAAGTTATAGTCAATTAAAAAAAGAAAAAATAGTAGTCAGGGTTGAGCCACTGTAGAAAATTAATGAAATATGCAGATAAATGATTAATAATGACCTTCAAATAATAGAATGGCGCTCAAATACACTTGGAAATGTGTAAAGGAACCACGAAATTGAAATAAAAAGTCCTTATTATGTAATTTTCAGATTTTCGCTTGTATCGCGAAGCTGGTCTGAAAAGTGAAAAAAAATATCGAAAATTTGTATTTTCTTTCTTTCCAACGGAAATGAAGTTTTTGACACCTCTTTTAGTCGACAAATGAATTTCCATTGCAAGAACCCTTTATAATTGCAAAATTTTTGGGTGGCTCAACCCTGACTCACCCGTCGTTTAGCGTCACATTACACACAAAAATAAGCGCGTTATCCAAACACCATATTACGTTCCACATTTTCATATAACATCTTAATAAACAATTGTAGTCAAGTAACTTTGTCTATGACATATTTTTTCTGCACTTAATTGTCTTCTTTTGAAACAAGAGAAAAGTTGTTTGTTGAGTGTACAGCAGTGACTCGCATAATACGTCTTTATTGTTCGCACACTTCACTACAACGTATGTGAAAAGTTCGCTGACATTGCTAACAAATACTTGAAAAGCTTGCTTTTCACCTAAAAGTCAATATATCGAACGGACAAAATATCGAAAAGCCAAAACATTTAACAGCCAGTACGTCGAATCAGAGATGGGTAAGTATCATACTTCATGTATGTTACCTAAGTTTGCTACGTATGTTACATGTGTATACAACTTGTCCAGTTTGCTACACAACGTTTGTTACATTTCATGACGTAGGCACTCGTAATGGTCAGAAGCAAATATAACCTTAATCTAGTTGGTTCCGCTATGTGTTTAGTCTTTGAATTTTTGTTTGATTGATTTGATTGTTTCTAAAAATCAAAAAGATCTATATTTAATTTTTCAGAAGCATTGACGAGATTTTTTTGTAGGATTATAGAAATTCAAAGTAAAGAGTAAAGACATATAAAAACACTTATAACTTAATAAAAATTATTAAAATGAAGTGCAATAAATTATTATTTAAAGAATATTTCATCTCTTTATATTTACCAGTAGATCTATTTACCTGAGTTGCCTGAGACATTATTATAATTTATCTGATAAGGCCAACGCACAATAGATTCGCGAAAGTCGTTCGCGAACGAGATGCATGAGATAGAAAAGGATACGAATATATCTCTGTCCTTTTCTAACTCATGTTTCACGTTCGCAAACGTCTTTCCCGAAGATATTCTGCTTAGGCTTTTATGATGATGAGGCGAGTTCGAGTTGACATCCAAAAAGTGAGGTTATATTTATAATATGGTTTGCGATGTTTGCGACAATTTGTTACGTATACTACACATTTTAGGTATCATACGTAGCAAACCTTGAGTTTGCGACATTTACCCATCCCTGCGTCGAATTGACAAAATGTCGAAAAATTTTATTGACTCAAGTATAATTATAGTTAAGTCAATAAAATTTTTCGACATTTTGTCAGTTCGACGTATTGGCTGTTCGATGTTTTGGCTTTTCGATATTTTGGCTTATCGATATTTTGTTCGTTCGATGTATTAACTGTTCGACGTCTTGGCTTTTCGACATTTTGACCGTTCGACGTCTTGGCTTTTCGAAGTTATGACTGTTTGACATTTTGTCTGTTCGATGCCCAAGCAGCACGGTATATCCCCTGAATATCCCTTGAATACCACCGTGGAATATTCCCATGATCTTCCAGGAAAATCAAAATGTCCGCATCATGGAAATATTCCACAGTGACATTCAGGGTATATTCCAGTGAAATTGAGGGTAATATTAAAGGAATATTCCACGGTTATATTGAATTTTTTTAAGTGTTGAAATAATAGAAATGTGTTATAAATTGTTATTTGAATAAGTAGGAAGATTAAAAACACATTTAAAAAAAAATTCAATGTAATCCGTGGAATATTCCCTCAATATCACTGGAATATACCCTGAATGTAACTATAAAATATTCCCATGATGCGGACATTTTGATTTTCCTAGAAGATCATGAGAATATTCCACTGTGGTATTCAACGGATTAAATATTTAAATAATCAGGGAATATACCGTGCTGCTTGGGATGTATTGGCTTTTCGACGTTTTGTCAGTTTGACGTATTGGCTTTTCGACATTTTGTCCATTCCACAACTTGCCATTCGACATTTTGTCTGTTCGACGTACTGACAGTTTGGTGAAAAGCATGTGTCTCAAATACTTACATACAAAGACAAATGGATCTAATATGATAAAACAAAATAAACGCGATGCCTCAACCTTGACCACTGTCCAACTCCCTATTGAAAATCCCCACATGGGAAACCACATGGGATCCTATGTCAAAAACTATGTAAAACCCCATTCCCCATATGGGAAACCACATGGGATCCCATATAAAAACTCATGGGAAATTGGGACAGGAATTGGCATAGGAAAATATCAAAACGAGGTTCCTCCATGTCATTTCCTATGTCAAATCCCATGTCAAATATCATGTTAAATACCATGTTAAATACTAATTGAGATCCTTTATCACTTTTTTAAAAAATTTTCCCATGTCAAACCCCATGTCATTTCCCAAGTAAAAACATTTATCATTTTTTTGAAAAATTTTCCAATATCATTTCCCATGTGAAATCTTTTATCATTTTTTTGAAAAATTTTCCCATGTCAAGTCCTCTTTCACCTTATCGAAAATACCCACATAGGAAAGCATATGGGAATCCACATGGGACACCATATTGGAATCCACATGGGAAATGGAATACGATTTCATGTGCATACTTCCAAATGATAAAACAAATAGATTTAAGCATAGGAAATCATATAAGATTTCATATAGATTCTGAAATTTCAACCTAAGATTTCACATGGATTTACATATAGGAAACGATATAGGATTTTATTCGGGAATTTTTTAGTTGGCTGCTTTATGCAGGCGGCAGATTACAAAAAAATTAATTATTTGATTAAATATAAAATAATAATACTTCAATTCATCTGAAAATAAAAAAAAGTTTACTTTACTTCTGCCTTAGACTCTCAGCTTTTATAGTATTCCAGACTGATCTCAACTGTGAGAGAAAATATTTTCACCATCTGGTGGTGAAACAATTAAACTATAATGACGATCAACATCTATATTGAAATTTCCTATGTCATTTCCCATGTGAAATCTTATCATTTTTTCGAAAAATTTTCCCATGTCATTTCCCATGTGAAATCCTTCATCATTTTTTTGACAAATTTTCCAATGACAAATCCTCTTTCGCCCTATCGAAAATACCCACATGGGAAAGCATATGGGAATCCACAGAGGAAATGGAATACGATAAAGGATTTCACATGGCAAATGACATGAGGTTTGACGTGGGAATTGATATGGGAAAATTTTTCCAAAAAATAATAAAAGATTTCACATGGGAAATGACATGGGAAAATTTTTTGAAAAAAATGATAAAGGAATTCACATGGGAAATGACATGGGAAAATTTTTCGAAAAAATGATAAGATTTCACATGGGAAATGACATAGGAAATTTCAATATAGATGTTGATCGTCATTATAGTTTCATTGTTTCACCACCAGATGGTGAAAATATTTTCTCTCACAGTTGAGATCAGTCTGGAATACTATAAAAGCTGAGAGTCTAAGGCAGAAGTAAAGTAAACTTTTTTTTATTTTCAGATGAGTTGAAGTATTATTATTTGATATTTAATCAAATAATTAATTTTTTTTGTAATCTGCCGCCTGCATAAAGCAGCCAACTAAAAAATTCCCGAATAAAATCCTATATCGTTTCCTATATGTAAATCCATGTGAAATCTTAGGTTGAAATTTCAGAATCTATATGAAATCTTATATGATTTCCTATGCTTAAATCTATTTGTTTTATCATTTGGAAGAATGCACATGAAATCGTATTCCATTTCCCATGTGGATTCCAATATGGTGTCCCATGTGGATTCCCATATGCTTTCCTATGTGGGTATTTTCGATAAGGCGAAAGAGGATTTGACATGGGAAAATTTTTCAAAAAAATGATAAAAGATTTCACATGGGAAATGACATTGGAAAATTTTTCAAAAAAATGATAAAGGTTTTTACTTGGGAAATGACATGGGGTTTGACATGGGAAAATTTTTCAAAAAAGTGATAAAGGATCTCAATTAGTATTTAACATGGTATTTAACATGATATTTGACATGGGATTTGACATAGGAAATGACATGGAGGAACCTCGTTTTGATATTTTCCTATGCCAATTCCTGTCCCAATTTCCCATGAGTTTTTATATGGGATCCCATGTGGTTTCCCATATGGGGAATGGGGTTTTACATAGTTTTTGACATAGGATCCCATGTGGTTTCCCATGTGGTTTCCCATGTGGGGATTTTCAATAGGGCTCTGACTACTCTCCCCTAATAATTAACATTTTTTATATCCTGCATTATTAATCGAGGGGATGTTCACTGAAGGAAATCGTGATTTTTTTATTTTAGCATTAATAAAATATTTAAGAAATCTTAGTAATCTGTAGAAATCTTAGGAAATCTCAATAGAAATCTCGGGAAATCCCGGCAGAAATAGTGGATTTCGTTCTTTTAACTGCGCAACCGATATTTGGCGAACGAACCCGAGCAATTCCAAAGTATTATTGACAGTTTATTGACAACTTTTACTTTATATTAGTATTATAATTTGTATTGATATTATATTGATTTATCCCCGGATTTATCGTAAGTAAAAAATATTGAATTTCTTTAACATACTATTAACAAAAAGTTTTTAAATTAACTTAAAATTACGCAAATATATAGATATTACTTTTTGAGGTTATGTTCTATTCCTTGTCAAATTATAATTATAATCAATTTTCTAATATAAAAATAAGACAGTTATGTATAAAAACGAAGCACTGAAGTTTTTTTCCCTTATTAGAAAATGAATTTTTGTATTATAATTACCCTATCGAAATAACGTGCCCCAAACGTGTTCTCAAACCGACTCTGGTTTGTAGAGCATTTTTAGAATCTGATTAAAAAAAGAAACTGAAGTACGCCACGTTTATAATAAACGATTTTTATTTATTTATATATATTCCCCGCGGACATTCTGTTTAAAGAAATAATTTTTTAAAATGAAAAATTCTATAATTTTTTTCCAAAAAAATTTTTCGTGTAGTTTTTATTAATCAAAAAATTATAAAAAAATATTTTTGTAGGTAAACAATTTTATAATTTACCGTGTTAAATAAAAATTGATTTCTAATCGTTCATCATAAACGTTGCGTATTTCAGCTCGTATTAAAAAAATAATATAAATTATAAAAATAAATTAAAAAATTCAAAAAAATTAGTTTGGAAATATGCAATTTTAAAAAATAACTCATGGTGCTTTGTTTTGACATATTATTTAAAACACTTACAATCATGAAAGGCTGTTTAAAATCCGATTTTTACCGAGCTCATCCGAAGCTATATTTCAATAACTTAAATACAAGGCAGTCACTGGAAATCTCTGGTAATCGCGTAGAAATCGTAGAAATATAAATTAATTTTTATAATTATTTTATAATAATCCACTGCTTTTTAAAATTATAATCAGTTTCATTTTTTTAAATGAATTATTAAAAAATGTTCTTAGATAGCAGAAAAAATGAAATTAAAAAAAAGTTATATTTATTAACCTTTAAAATTATTTGTATTTTGTTAATGTTTTTTTGTACAATTTTTTATTCGACTTAATTTTGAAAAAAAATTAAATTAAAATAAATAAAAACATTTTAAAAACATTACGATAATATACACATAAAAATAAATTTTCATTGCAATTAATTAATTTAATAAAGAATAAACTTACATTGCATATGCCAACATCTCCAGATAACGTTGTTTAATCTGATTTTGTCCTTCCATCTCAGTCTGATTCCTTTAAAACGATTCCATTTGGGCGATGTCAACTTCTGTCTGGAACAAATTATTCAAATCATATCGACTGTTTTGCATTTGTTTATTAAAATTTAAATTATTTTTATTCAAACTAAATATTATTCGAATAAAAATTTTGATTCAAAATAAACATATTTAATTTTAATGTATATTAAATATAACGAAAATACGGAAATTTGAAATGAGAAGATTTAATTATAATAATGTATATATTAAAAGGATCTTCCATGCATTTGAAAGATAATTTAGTTATTGGAAGATTTCCACCCCATTCTTTAGCTATCATCACAGAAATTTTCCTTGGCATTAGACCTTGCTTATTCCTCCGTTTTATTCGAATATTTTCATTTTTTCAAGATTAGATAAGAGACCAGAAGTCATATTTCTTATTTATCCATATTACTTCCTGACTAGAACAAATTATATTTTTCTTTTCTAAATATATATTATATAATAAATCGCATTTTTCAAATATTTTCATTCAATATTTTACAGCTGTTTTTGAAAAAAGGTAAATTCTATACATTAAAATTCAGTTAATTACAAATTACCGATAAAATTAGTCTATCGATTAAATATAAATGAAACTGAATCTATAAAAAATAAATATATATGTATTTTTTTTTTCTTAATTTTTTATTTCTTATTTAGTTGTTTACAAACAAATTACATTAAGATTACTAATGTTTAGTGTTCCACGGTAATATTATTTAATTAATATATAAAACATAAATTAGAACTGCTAAAATAAACAAATAAAAATCACAAATTGAATCTAATAAAATTAAAATGTGTGTTGATAATTAATTTTGTTATATATTTGATTCAATTGCATTGATAGATTCTCTGAATTCGTGATAAAATATAAATTTTGAGGTTAGGGGTGTTTGTTTACTAACTTGAAATCTTTTACTGCTGCGGTAATTCCCACTTAAAATATATATTTTATATCTTTTTTAATAACATGCATACTGGATATTGTTTAATAATGTTAAAATGTAAAATGTGATTAGTAAACAAACTTCTCTAACCTCAATATTTATATTTTATCACGAATTCAGAGAATCTATCAATGCAAATGAATCAAATATATAACAAAATTAACTATCAACACACATTTTAATTTTATTATATGTCAACAAGCGTTTTCCGTGTTTAAAATATGAGTCGTCTGTTGGTTGTCCCTCCAGATCTCTGACGTCATATCTTGAACTCGAAATATCTCGATGAACTGACACAGCCTAATATGCACAAAAAAATTCAGTTACTACCCAACTCTGCTTTCGTGCAACAATACAGACGTTGAGTTGTAATTTCCCAGTTCTGAATATTTACGTACTGTCGTCAGCTGTCAGTTGTATTAGTCAAAGATATTTTTATTAATAGACAATAATTATAGGAAAAATATGTCCACGTGCAATTACTTATTTATATAAAATTTGTGGATTTAATAAGTTAAGTGTATAATTACTAATATTTTTATTAAAATTAGACAGTTTACTCAAATATGACATCCATTTTTCTAGTAATATTTTAGTAACATTTTTATCCATCACAAATTTATCCTTTACCCTGTATCCTAACGACTTTTATCCTCTATCTTTACAACTTTTTACCCACCTTTTTTTCTGTGAACTTCAGCTTTTGAGTAGTTTCTCATTTTATGAAAAACTGTTAGGTGACAATTGTTTCAAAATTAAAAAAAAATCGTGCGCAAATGTGTCGATTTTTATAACCTGCAATTATTGTTTTGATTTTATTGTGATTCTTTAAACATTTAAATACTTAAATTATTTATAAATAAAATAATATACATAGGGTAAATGCACTAATTACAGCGCGATTCGAGCAAAACACCTTTGAAATAGAAAATTCGACATTTCTATTGTATACACTGAGAAAAAAGATTAAGTGTTTGCAACAAAATTGTTTGGTTAGGCAATTTTGGTTCTTGTAACCAAATTTTGGTTGGCTGAAACAAAGTCGTAGAGTTATCTCAACCAAACATTTGGTTAGGCCAACAAAATTATTTGGTTGAACATTTTTAAATTCCAACCAAAATTTGGTTACGACAACAAAATAATTTGGTTAACACAACAAAATAGTTTGGTCTAAAAAACCAAATGATCGTTTGTTGTCCTAACCAAAATTTGGTTGCGACAACAAAATAATTTGATTTGCTCTCAGCTCATAACTTAAGAGAACAGTTAGGTTAAATCTCTCACAAGAATGGGTAGTCCAGTGGTCAGAGCTCCCGACCTTCAGTTTTAAACAGAGGTTCAATCCCAGGCGGAGATGAGATTTTTCAATGTCCACAAATATTTCAATTGGATAAATATAAATTCAATGTTAAATTGATAATAAATAAATAATGAAATAAATAAAAAAGAAATAAGGTAGAATAAAATTTTTAATTTTACAAAAAAAAAACTGTTTGTTTGATCAACCAAACATTTTTGTTGACCTAACAAAAAAAATTTGGTTTGAGCTAACCAAACATTTTTGTTATGCCAACAAAAAACACTCAACCAAATAGTTTGGTTGCTTAAATACCAACAAAATTTTTTTGTTGGCCCAACCAAATTTTGGTTTCTCTGACTAAACATTTTTCTTAGTGTAAAGTCAATTTAAGACTTATTAAACTAAAAGGTTATGTTATTTAGATATTTAAAAAATGTTAAACTTTATAAAAATTGATTATTTAAACAAATATGAGAAATTAAAACTAATACCGTAATTTTCTATTAGGGGGCGTTTGTATCAGTTCCGGTGTCTCAATTATGGTGAGCAAAATTACGTGTATTTTGAAGGTACTTTGTCCACCGTAATTGGAGTCAATGGAAATCTTAAAATATTTCAATTACGGCGAGGGAAAAAATTTGATCTTGAATAATTAAATTAATAATTCTTTAAATGTGCACCTTTATTAGTAATTGTATATCAAAAAAAGATTTAAATAATTTTTTAAAATCATTTTGCAACAGTTATATTAAATTATTAAATATAATAGTAATAATAGTTATATTTTTTATAAATGCGCCGTAATTGATGCACACATTTAAAAGTTTTTAACCCTCTGAGCACACACCTCTTTTTTCGTACAAGTAGCACAGTCTGAGTCGCTGTGACCCTGTTTACTTTACAAAACTCCCCCATTTTTGAACTATTGGACTGATCAACACAAAAGAAAATATTTTTTTATTCATTGAACCTTGTAAAATAAGAATATGCAGTTTAGAAATATTATTAAATTATTTGCATATTGAAAAAAAATTCGTGAGGTTAACTAATTAAAAAGAAAAAATTGAATTTAAAAAAAAAATGTAACTTTTGTAATTTTTAATATTTTAAGCTAAAAATTGGGATTTATATTCTCGAAGTGTGTTAGAATAAGGGAAAAAATACCACCTTATTTTATTTTTTAAAAAAGTTATTTATTTTGTAGTTTAACGAAGGTAACTTTTAAGACGATAAAAATGTGATTTTCGACACAACTTTTTAAAACTATACTTTTTTAATAACATATTTACTAGTATTTTATTATTTTCTTTGGATTATCATGTTACTTATTATTCCTTATTAGTTAGTTACCACTATATGGCCTTAGGTTCGTGTTGTATTGCCGACTTTTCAAATTACACTTCATTGAAATTAATGACAGGGTCTGTGTGACCCAGTATGTGCTCCGAGGGTTAAAGAAACATATACGACAGTTGTCATTTCATAATTTTAAATAACTAGAAGAACATAAAAAATGAATAGCAGTCTGACAAATCGGGAAAAGCGCTGAACGTAATTTTTTAACATCTAGCAATTTAAAGGTCAACTTCACAAAAAAAGTTAGTAGAATTCTGCAAAATTTACAAAAAGAGTCGCAAGTTTCACAAAATTTTAATAATTAAATTAAAGTTAGAAGAAGTTAACAATCTTTCCGAATCAAGTTTTTCATTAAAACATCTTAAATCTCATATGTATCGACAATACAACTGCCCTAATACAGAAATCTGCTTTTTTTCTAAAAATATATTTTTCGAAATTAATTAATAATTTCTAGAGGGGCGCATGATTATCTCATAAAAATCATAAGCTAGAATTTTCATTTGATAGAATTTCTATTTAGACGAATTTTCATTTTTCGAATTAGTATTTGAATTACTTTCTTTGTAAAGAAATTTTATTTGACATAGTTTTTAGATACCGAATTTTAATTTAATATAATTTTTATTTTACTAAATTTGTTGTTATCCAACTTTTTATTTTATAGAATTACAATTTAAACCAATTTTAATTTATCAAAATTTTCATTCAGCAGAATTTTAGTGATTCGAATTGTATAATGTCAGAATTTTTAAACTATCGAATCTCCATGTGTCAAAATTTTTATATTTACACGAATTTTTATTTGATAGATTGGAAGTTTTAAATTAAATTTAATCTATAAATCAGACTCTTGTTTATACATTGCTTAAAACTTAGAAACTTTATAGAGTAGTGTAAATAAGAGATTACAAAACTTAACAGGTAAACGAAATAAATATTTTAGCTTTTAAGCAGTTCGTATAATTCTTAAATCAAATCTCTTAAGTTTTTTTATGTAAAACAGAAAATCCCAAGAATGATAACGTTTATCAGATGAAATGATATTTGTTCTAACTTGCAATATATGTAACAACTGATGAGCAGAACAAAATATTCAAATATGAAACACCTTTTCACAAATTTATCTTAAATTAGTGTAAACGATATTTTATACTGTTGATTTAAGTATTTTTTTTTTCAAATCGACGAATAATGTATATCTCGAACAAGTGAAAGAATATTTTGGAATATATTTTAAACAACCATAGAGAAGTTACAAATTATAATCGGTGATAAAAATTCTTTTTAAGGCAATTAGTTGAATATTATGTGAATTCACAGACATTAAAGTTTCGGGGACAAAGTCCAATGAACATAATTTGGCCAATACAATGTAACAAGATAATTTAACATTGAATTAAGGAGTAAATAACGGATCT